GCACCTGCTCAACCATAAAGATCCAGTTTTCTACTTCTGGCACCAGCCCTGTAACTCCTTAGAAGATAACATTCTTTTCTCAATCCTGTAAGGAGTCAAGATGACCCACCACTCACCCTGTATAGCCCAGAACAGACTGGTCAGATGGCCTGGGGAGACACTGGGCCACACCTAATGGAAGTTCTTAGCTTAAATACTTACAACCATATTAAGGTTACTGGCTATATTACTTGTATTCCGTCTATTTATAAGATTACTGTCTCTTGCATTACCCAATGTATGACTGGGCCTCTGATAGAATTAGTGATGATTAGGTGACTTGAAACAATGGACCAAGCATCGAGTTCTGTAAGATCAATGACTGTAACAGTGTAACTCTAGGTATGGGAAGAAGTGACAAGAGGGCACAATTTCCTGGACCATAAAAGACTAATGAGACAGGCAGCCCAGAGGCTCTTGGCTACTGTTAACAGGGCCTAGTCCAGGAATAGCACACTGAGTGGCCTGTCAATGAAATCCTCGCCTGACCTGGGAATGAGCATTCCTAGCGCCATGGGACAAATTGGTCACAGAGCGCCTCCTAAGCCTTGGTCGAAATTAAGTCCCAAAGGGAAGGGATTGTGAAATAAAGAAAGTTGCCTACCATCCAGTTCTACAAGAATCCAGTCGTTTGCCACTGCAGTCTCTGACCTACAGTAACCCTAAAAAAAATGCAGGGCAAAGATCAAGATGAAGCACTTTATGCTCTGGGAAAACGGGCCTTTGGCTAATGAGCTATTTTCAGGAGAAATTTTTTATGAACTCGGATTCTTGCACCTTCTCACATTTAGAAAAGTATTAACTAAGATGTCTGTTCCTCGTGACTAACGGCAACCGTCTCCTGAGATGTGTGCTCAATTGCAGGTTCCCGCTTTGCCAACATCACGTCTATACTGGCCTCCCCCTTAAACTCTTCAGAACAGTCCTTAGAGCTCTCTCAGAGACTGTCTCCCAGGTTATAATCCTCAGTTTGGCTCAAATAAAATTTTCCATTTCTTTCTTCGGTTGACACTGATAAATTTTTTTTGTTAACGAAGTAAGACAGAATCCCTCTATCTGCGTGCGTGTGGAGAATAGATGGCAGAGGCTCAAAGGTGGAGGAAGGGAGACCAGTGAAGAGGCCCTTGCAATGATCCAGGGAAACACGGCAGCAGCTTGGGCCACGGGGGTAGCAGATGGGGAGGGGAGAAGTGGGCATGGCCCAGGCATGGCTTTAAGGTCAAGCCAACAGGACATCCTGGCAAATGGCATATGAAGTATGACAGGGATGGCTCCAGGGTTTTTTCCTGAGCAGCTGGAAAGATGGAGTCCCCGACCGCTGAGACAGGAAAGCCACAGAGAAGCATGTTTACAGGGAGCTCAGCTTTGGCCTCGGTAATTGTGGGACGTCTGTTAGGCCTATTAGAAAGTGATTAAAGGTAACTGAGGTGATACAAAGTTTATTTAACACTTCACGGATAGACCTAGAGATTATCATACTAAGTGAAGTAAGTCAGACAGAGAAAGAAAATATATGATATCACTCATACGTGGCATCTAATTTTTTTTAATTATACAAATGAACTTATTTACAAAACAGAAAAGACTCACAGATTTCGAAAACAAACTTGTGGTGACCAAAGGGGAAACGTGGTGGGCAGGGGTAGGGATAAATTAGGAGCTTGGGATTAACATACACACACTACTACATATAAAATAGATAACCAGCAAGGACCTATTGTATAGCACAGGGAACTCTACTCTATATTCTGTAATAACCTATATGGGAAAAGGAATCTAAAAAAGAATGAGTATATGTATCTGTATAACTGAATCACTATGCTGTACACTTGAAACTAACACAACAATAAACTATAAAATTAACTATAAATCAACTATACTCCAATAAAATTTTTTTTAAATGGTGAATTAGATAAAAATTTCAAAAAAACCCCCACAACACTTCATGACGTGGACCATCTCCATTCAGAGAACTGCAAAATGAGGGAGGGGGAAGGCAGGAAGCTTTACAAAATAAGGAATAAAGAACAGGATGCGAAAAGTAGAAAATATCAGATTGGCTGGGACCACATAGTGAATGGAATGAGGAGCAACAAGGCAATAAGTATAAAGCCCAGGGTTGGCTTGTCGTCTGGGGACCGGCTGACTGCATACACTGCATTTCTGGTCAAGCGGAGCACTTACAGGGGCATGAATGTTACCAAAGTTTTCCTTTGTTGCCATGGCACCCCCAGCAGGAGCAGCTCCATCTGGGGCCTTCTGTATTTCAACAGGCCCCTACGTTTAGGGGGTTGGATTAAAGTCTAGCATTGCAACAAGAGGTCCTTGAAGAGGTGAATTGTCCCAAAGATAGAGGAGAGAGACTGAGAAGAGGACCAAGTACTGAGCCCCGTGACCTCAAGGGTAAGAGTGTGGGGAGAAGAGGAGGAATCAGTCAAAGAGATTGAGAAGCGGGGGAGGGGGAGGAGAGCTAGGCGAGCCCTGGGGCCCAGGGAAGAAGGGTCTTATGAAAAGAGAAACCTCAGAGGCTGTGATGGCTCAAGTAAGATGAAAATAGAAAGTGGCACTGAACTCGCTGTAGGGACATCATTGGTGACCATGGGGTGACAGGGCAAAAACTTGATGAAGATGAATCCAAAAAAGAATGGGAAGAGAGATTGGAGATGGGTGTCGACAAGCCTTTTATGGAACTGTACAGCAAATAGAAGCAGAAAAAGAGGGTGGCAGCTGAAGAGACATGCAAGGTTGAAAGTGAGGGGAGCTTTTTTGAGGACTGGAGAAAAAAGCAGCATGTTTGTACATTGATGGGAATTGTCCAGTAGGGAGGGAAAATCAGGTGCCAGGGAGGAAGGGAAGTCTTGAAAAGGTGGAGAGGTGGGCTGCAGGGCACACAGGGAGGAGCTGGCCACGATAAGAGGGGACGTGTAGGGCATTTACGGTGGCAGGATGGAAGGCAGAATGTTGGGGCACCGAGGCCTGTTGGCTTCGGTGAGAGACTCAGACTGTTGGTTTCTGATGGCTTCTATTTTCTTAGTGAAATAAGGAGAAAAGACATTTATTGAGAGGACAGAAGAGGAGGTGGGAGGTTTGAAGAGAGGAGATGGTATAAAAGAGCTCCTAGTTTGTGTGTTCAAATATAAGGCTAACAGAAATAAAATATGTCACTGCCAAACCACAACAGAAGAAAAATAGAACAAGAAAAAGCAATGGATTCCACAGAAAATAGGAACAAGGAAAAGACTTAAAGGGAAAATATGGTAAAGAAGAAAAAGCATCAAAAGGCCAAACATGACCATAACCACAATAAATGTGAATAGGCTAGAATCACTAGGTAAAAGGCAGAGGCTTTTCATTTGGACTTTACAAAAGGAGATGTTAAGCTTAGTTTGCATTCCAGGCTTATGAAGCAGAACATACAATGACTAAAATAGAGTCTGGAAGTATTCACACCAAATTGTTACCAGTGGTGATCACTGGTTGGTGAGTTTAGGAGAGATCTTTGTTTTCTTTTTACCTTTCAATATGTTTTGAAGTTTTTGGAAGGGGCATACATTAATTTTATTATCAGGAGAAAAAAAGAAGTTGTTTTTAAAAATAGCTGAAGCATATCTTCATGGAACCTTTGTTTGCTGTCCAAACCTGGGTTCCAAAGATGCTCTTAAGAAGGGTCCCTGCCTAACATGAACTGGATGGAATTGAGGCCAGCTGGACAATAACAGAAGGGTGCAGGACAGTGTGAAGAGGGGGGGCTCCACTGCCCACTCTGAGCTCCACGGGGAGGCAGGAATAATCAAGGAGAGCTCCCTGGAGGAGGAGGCTCTTGTAGTACATGGAGGATGTGGCCCAAGGGTGAGCCTGGAGATAGCATTCTAGGCTAGGGGCACTGTCTGAGTAAGGGCAGGAGCCCACTGAGCCAGCACAGGGTGCATGTGGGAAGCAGTGGGTGAGTTGGGGTACAGAGGCCAGGGAGGCGAGGAGGTTGTACCTGTGAGCTACATGAATGGGCCAAGGGAAGAGTGGGCAAGACAAAAGGAAGCAGTGGGAGGGGAGATATTCTTAAAATAGGTGGGCCTCATGCTCCAAAGCACATGAGAATAAATGGCTGGGTCACCATCACTGCTCCATTGCCCACTCTCTACCTGCCACACGTCACACACACACTTGAACACACTCATGTACATATATGTGCACATACATCTATACACTCATGCACACACACATGCACACACATTCATGCACCACGTGTGTACACACATCCATGCACTCATGTATACATGCACACACATTTTTTGCCCTTTTGTGGCCTCTGGCCCTTTAGCCTGGAGAATTAACTATTGCAACCACGGGGGGGGGGGGGGGTCTCTTGGCTCAGGTCCAATCTTTCTTGACCTCCCCCCCAGCATGCATTGCTTCCCCACCCCCGCCCTGGCCATGGGATACATTGGCTAGCTGCTGCTGAGGGGGTGCCCCCTGGCTTTTAAGCAGGATTTGACAGGAGGGTTTTGCAGTGTGGGAGATGGGTTGTAGGGACAGGAACAGAGGCAGGAAGACCAGGGAAGGGACAGCTGTGGAGACAGAGAGGGGGGGGAGGAGAAGTTAGTAGGGCTTGGCCACAGTAACTCCAGCCTGGGTGACTTCAGCCTCCTCTTTCCCCACTTCCCAAATTCAGCTTCTCCCAGAGATCCAGGGGCAGCTGCGTCTCTGGGGAGATGCCGGTGGCTTCAGGGTCACACCTCACAAACTCAGGTCCCCGTCGGAGCCACCCTGGGTGACGGCGGCTGAGCAGGCGCTCGGATACCCGCGGGCCAGGTCTGCGAAGCGGGCGCCACTGCCACGCCCCAGGTGGCCTGGCTGGCGGAGCAGGAGATGCCACGGGGGAGGCAGGCCCCTCACGTCAGCCCCTCTGCCCTGGGCCGGCCTCTGTGAAGTGGGCACCTCCACTGGCCCCCTGGGCAGGCTCCATGGCCTTTTCCAAACTCCCAGACTGAGTGGGCAGCCTGGGCAGGTTCCAGGTTCTCCAGATGGTGGCCCTTGTGGTCCCCACCATGTGGCTCACCACTCAGAATATGCTGGAGAATTCCTCGGCCACCATGCCCAGCCACCGTGGCTGGGTGCCCCTCCTGGACGACAGCACTACCCAGGCCAGTGTCCCCAGGGCCCTGGACCCTGAGGCCCTCCTGGCCGTCTCCATCCCACCGGGTCCCAACCACGAGCCCCACCAGTGTCTCTGCTTCCGCCAACCACAGTGGCAGCTCCTGGCAACTCCTGCAGCCACCGACTGGAGCGAGGCTGCCACGGAGCCACACGTGGATGGCTGGGTCTATGACCGCAGCACCTCCCCCAAGACCCTCCCCAGGTCCTAGCACCTTAGAGGCCAAAGTCACAGATTACAGTTGGCTGGACTCAAAAATGGCCCAGTCCCAGGAGGGACCCACCACCCCTGGCCTCCACACTCACAGGTGGCTTCTGGCTCCTCCTCGGCCACATTGCCCTACAGGGGTTGGTGGCAGGAATGAGCCTGCAGACGGACACTGTCCCCAGGCTGTGGAAGAGCGGGTGGTACTAGAGCAGGTCTGATACCCAGGCGGCCCTACTGCTGCAACTCGGGCAGCTCTCTCCACCCAGGAGTCTCAGGGGACTCAGGGGAGAGTCGCTGGGTTCCCAGAGGCAGCATCTAGCAAATGAGGGAGAGCGGGAGAGGCGGCCCATCTCAGCAGGCAGAAGGGGCCTCTCTGTGGAACGGGAGGGACGCGGCCTCGGGAAAGCGGGGGGAGGCACCAGTGTGGCGTGGCTGCTGCCGAGGGGCCAAAGCAAAGGAGGCAGGTGAGGCCAGAGAGGGCTTGATCCTGGACCTGTGGGCAGTAGGGAGCCATGGAGGGGCTTAGGCAAGGGGTGACAGCCCCAGAGGTCACCAGGCTGGCCGCCCGGCCCCAGTGCCCTGGGCCTTCCCATCTGGCTCCTCTGCGCCCTCCGCCCCTCCCACCTGGGCTATCCAGCCTCCTGAGCTCAGATCCTCTTCCTCTCCCACCAGGGGGACCTGATGTGTGACTCCGAGGCCCGGAAGCCCACGGCCCAGTCCATCTACCTGGACGGGATCCTGGTGGGAGCTGCTGTGTGCCGCCAAGCCTCTAACAAGTGAGGCCCCCTTTCCCCTCACTGTCCCTGTGCTCCCAGACTCCTGGCCCTGACTGGCCCTGAACTGGCCTCTTGCAGCCGGCCTGGGGAGAAAACTCCGCTTGCAGTGGAAATACCTGCTCCCGGGTCTCGCTCTGACACCCTCCAGCTGTGCCGCTGAGCAAAGCTCAGCCCCTCTCCGGGCCTCGGTTTCACTGACCCTCCTCTGCGGCCGTGAAAGGTCATTGCCCTCATCAAACGTTCACTGCTAAAACCTGCTCAGCAACGTGCCTGCCTTCCGCTGCTGCTTGGCTGCCCCTGCTGACAGGGAGCTCACCCCCTGCCCAGCGCCTTCACTCCTGCCTGGGCCGCGGGGGCGCTGCCCACGAGCCCTCCCTCCACGGACGCAGAATGTGGGTCTGGCCCTGAGAGGCACTTTAGCACCGCTATGCTCAGCGGGCGAGCGTAGGGTGGGCACACCGCGGACCCGGCCGCCCTCCCTGTGCGTGTGCCGCACGTTCGGACTCGGGCTGGTGCTGACCTGGAGCTACTTTCCGACGGCCATGTGGGGCACGGCAGCCGCTTTCCTCCACACCTTCACCGTGTACCGCCTCTTCCGCTTCCTGGTGGCCTTCGCCGTGGCGGGCGTCATGATGAACCCCGGCACTCTCCGTAGGTCCCCCGACCCGGGCCGTGCAGGGGCTGCTCGTGCAGCCTCCCAGGCTGACCCACTTGTCTCCTTGCAGTGACGGAGTGGACATCGGCGCAAGCCCGTGCCTCGGCAATGACTTTGAAAGCCCTGGGCTTCAGCTTGGGCCAGGTCCTGATGGCCGCAGTGGCCTACGGCGTGCGCGACTGGGCGCGGCTGCGGCTGGCGGGCTCCGCCCCCTTCTTCCTCTGCTTCGTGTACCCCTGGTGGGTGCTACCCTTCCCCCTCCTCGGAGGAGATAACTGCCCACCCTCCCCCCGGGGCGCAGAGGGCCGGGGTGCAGGAGGCCGGAGGGGAGCCACGGGAGCCTGGTACAGCCACAGCTCACCCACTCAACCCAGGGCTTCTTCCCCTGCTCCTCCCACGTGTCTCCACTCCCTCCGCCTTCTTTCCCATCACCTGTCGGCCCTTTCCCCTCTCCGGTCATTGCCTGCCTTGGCAAGTGTGCCTCCAGGCACGTTTTCTGAGCCCCTCCTTCGTGCCAGGCATGGCAGCACTAGGCCAGATGGGGGATGGGATGCAAAGATCCAGTGCGCGCGCACACACACACACACACACACACACACACACACACACACACCCCACTCCCAAAACACAGCCACAGTCAGCCTTACGTACTGACATTATTGCTAGAGGACAAGGACCACAACCCAATTGTCAGAGGGGGCCCTGGTTTCCTCCACACAGGGCTGACACATGGGAGGCTAGGAAATGTCTGCACTGACCTGAAATGAATCCGGCATGGCCCTGACCAAGCTCCTGGCACACAGCAGGTGCACAGTAAATATTTGTTGGATGGATGGAGAGATAGATATATAGATAGACAGGCAGACAGATAGATGAGTGCATGGTTGGTTGGATGGATGGGTGGATGGGTGGATGGATGGATGGATGAATAGGTGGGTGGATGGATGGATGGCCCTTCAGGGTAGGGCTGAGCCTCGCTCATCACATATATACAGGCCCAGCACCTGGTAGTCGCTTGGCCATTGCAGCCACCGCAGAAAGGAGCACAGCAGAGGCCCAGTGGAGGACAGCCACCTGCACCCGCACTACGAGGAAGGCTGGCTCCACAAATCTCTCCCAGCCCAACAGCCTGGAGCAGAAAAGTTCTTAATATGGAGCCTTTAGCAACTAATTTGCAGTCACTTGCCAGCGCAGGAGGCAATGACATCTCACGCAGCGGCTCTGAGACGGGGCACTCGTACCTGACAGGTGGCCTTCTGGGATGGCAGACTGACCCCCATAACAAGAGGGTGAAGGGCAAATGTCAGTGATGCAGAGTCCAGGGCACCCCTCCCGGCTCTCTGATGCTGAGGCTGACTCGCGGGGCTGAGCCCCACTTTCCTTGGCAGACAGGCGCACACAGGTGCTATGTGCCCACATGTATTCATTACTCCACTACTTCATCACGTCAACAAATTGCACTGAGAACCACCATGGGGGGGGGACTGGCTGGTGCAGGGGTGACAGCGATGAGCAGCACGGACAGGGTCACTGCCCACGTGGAGCTCGCAGGAAATCCCCTGCATCACAGCATCACAAACCACGCTTGGGGTTTGACGCATCAGTGGGGGATGTGGACCCATCTGAGGATGGGACCCCCTGGCCCCTCAGCTCCCGCCAGCTCCTCTGCCTCTCTTCCAACCCAATTTCTCTTCGTGAGAAGCGTCTGCACACACAAACCCACTCCAATGACCCTGCCGCCCTCTCTCTGCTCCCCTCACTCGGCCCCTGCCCAAAAGGGCACCGATGCTCTCTCTCCGGGGATCTCACCTGTGCCCACTGCTCTCCCTCCACACACTGCAGGCCCCCAACCCCCTCCCCTGTCCTGCCGCTCCCCGGCCTCCAGCCACCCGCGTGATGTCCCCATTACCAGTGTCTCGGCATCACGAACGTAGCATCTCCTTGCCCCTGCTCCTCCCAGGGCCTCCCCAACGTTGATGGCGGGCCCCCACCCACAGGTACTGGAGTACCTGACACCTGACACCTCCCTCTCCCTCACGGTTGCCGCACCCCAAGTCCAGCAGGTCACAGGGTCTTGCCAACTCTACCTCTAATGTGCGCTTGAGGCCCCCTCTCTCCCCTGCTCTGCAAACCCCCAAGGATCTCAGGGACCCATGGCTGTGGAGCAGGCGGCCCGCCCTGGCTGCTGCTGGGGGCGGGGTGCGGGGGGGCAACGTGTCTGGCTGGGGGACCTGAGTCTGGAGGCAGGAGCCTGTGCGCGGTGGTGGGCACGGAGGGGGCTCCGAGGCCTGGATGGCGCAGGGGATCTGGGCTTGATGTTGAGGGGGTGGGAGACAGGTTAGTGTTAGGCCCACCCTGAGCCTGGGCCCTGCCACGGGGAGGGGGCACCGGGATGCCTGAGGCTGGCTGGCACTCAAGAGGCGGCGACTGTCACCGGGCATGGGCGAAAGGGCCAAAAGTGAGGCAAGGGCAGTGGGCAGGTCACCTGCAAGGGGTGCTGGAGGTGAGGGGCATTGGTGACTGATGGGTGCAGGTGGACGGGGCTGGTGATGTCAGGACCAAGGACCCTGCTGCAGGCCTGAGCCCCTCCCCTGGTGGGTGTGGACCTGTTTGCAGGGAGGGGCACCTGGGGAGGGGCCAGCTCAGGCAGGAAGGTGTGGCCATGCGGATAAACAGAAGGGCCGTGTGACATAGGGGAGGGCTGGACAGTGGGGGACCCTGGTGGGCTTGCAGGACTGCGGTCCTTGAGCCATTGAGGGCGTCCTTACTGCACGCAGGCCCACCAGCCCTGGGTCCCGGGCGAGGCCGGGGAAGGGCCAGGGGGTTGGGAAGGAGGCAGGAAGCAAGAACAGGGGCCCCCAACCCCAGCCCAAGAGAGGGAGGAGGGAGGAGGGAGAAAGGGTGGCCTGCAGGGGAAGGAGGGTGCCGAGGGCGCGGCTTCCGCAGCCCCGGAGCCCTGTGCTGCCTCCCCCGACCTCAGCCACCCTGAGCCTCGGCTGCCAGTGAGGCCGCTCCTCAGGGCAGAAGGGGACGGGGGGCAGTGAGGCTCATGCAGGCCAGACCCTGGGGACCACAGGCAGTGTCCGCCTCCCACTTCCCTCCCTCTGCCCCACCCCAGGTGGCCGGCAGGCTCAGCACGGTGGCTCCTCCTTACGGGCAGGCTGGAGAGGGGCCTGCGGGAGCTACAGAGGGCGCCTGCCGTCAACGGGAGAGGGCAGTGCGGGACGCACTGACCATCGAGGTGAGGCGGGGCTGGCCCTTCCCCCTTGAATCTCTCTTTCACGTGGTCTCAGGGCTGCCCAGGTGCATCCCGACCCAGCCTGACCCACGGCGCCTCTCTGGGCTGAGCAGGGCCAGGCCAGAGTGAGAGGGCAAAGCCACAGGTAGGCAGTGCGGCCCCTCACAGGTGCATCTGTGCAGGCAGGATGACCGCAGTGGGCCTGGGCCAGACGGCAGCCCGAGGGGGAGCCATCCTGGGGCCTCTGCTGCGGCTGCTGGGGGTACACGGTGCCTCCCTACCCCTGCTGGTGTACGGGGCGGTGCCAGTGCCGAGCGGCCTGGCTGCACTGCTGCTGCCTGAGACCCAGAGCCTGCCACTGCGCGACACTATCCCATATGTGTGGAGCCAGTGAGTGGGCCATCCCCTCCACCCTCCGGAGAACCCCAGAAGAGGGCAGGCCTGGCAGCCACCCCCACTGCTGGACAGAGGGAGAAGCAGAGGCCCAGAGAGGGATAGGACTGGCCCAGAGTCACACAGCACATTTTTGGGAGATTGGAGACCAAGGGCTGGGTCTCCCGGCTGACAGTATGGACTTTGTCCCCTACCCTTCATTCCACCATTTGAGACCTAAATGCCCTAGCTACCCCCTAGCTCCACCTCGGGAGAGATCAAGGGGAAGGGAGGGTGTAGGACTTTGTGAGAGGGAGAGCTGAGGGTGTGACGGCTGTGCTGCAGGTCCTCACGGGCCCCAGACTCTACTACTAAAGCCCCTAGACGTCTATCAAGGCTGTCACTGTGCACCCATCCCCCACGATGTGCTCAGGGAGCTCAGTCCTGGGCCCCTGAGAGCAGGGCAGCAGTATCTCCTAAGTCTTCAGGACGGACACATGTCAGGGGTCAGGCGTGACTTGCACCCACGAGACATAACCCTTCCGTGCCTCTCCTGAACAGGGCAGTAAAGAAGGCAACACACAGCACCCAGGGGCGTCCTGTTCTGAAATCCACACGACTTTAGGCCTCCTGGGAAGCCTGCGATGGGATGGCAGGAGGAGGCTCTTCTCTGCGGAAGGAGAGCAAAGGCCTCGGTTTCCGGAGGGCCGGGGGGCTGCCCCTCCAGCCGAGCCCAGCCTCTCACTATCTAAGGAGCCGCCCTGAACACAGAAGGGACCAAGGAAGGTGTGATTGGCAGGACGCTGCCCGGTACACCATCACCTGACCCTTTCTCAAGGCTGCTGAGAGAGGAGCAGGGGCACGACCCAACCCGACCCTATGCTTCCTCGCCCCTCACCAGCCCTGAGCTCACAGGCTGACATCAGCCACGCTCAAAACCTCCCCAGCTTCTCACGCCAACCTGAGGGCTCCGCACAAGCGCCCCTCAACTTTACCAGAGAGACGGCTCGGGCCCTCCCCATCCCCCTCGCTACTCCAGCCACGCAGCCAGGTCTTCTGCCTGGAATGCTTCTGCCACCTTCCCTACCTGACAAATCCCCCGCCTCAGCCTCCCATACCCAGGGCAATGGCCTTGTTCTGGGGCCCAGCGCCCAACCCAAGTCTCCAGTGAAATTCTTACCACGGCTGCGGCCACACGCCTGTGAGTCCCCAGAGGGTTGGGGTGGTCCGCCTCCCCGTGTCCCCAGCTCCCACACAGACCAGAGGGCCATTGGTGCGAGGGAGACGGGAGAGTGAATCAAGGACTGTGCCTCGGCGACTCCAGTGATGAGCCCCCAGGGACTGCCGGCGCAGGGGGTGGGACTTCCTCCCTGGGACGGCCCTTTCCCAGGCCAGCTTCCCTGTCCTGAGTGCCAGCCGAGTGGCTGCCTTTTCCAGCCTCTGCTGTGGGCCAGGCACCGTGCTGGACGCCTCAAGGCATCGTCTCGTTTCATCTTTTCCTGAACGCTTTGTGGTAGATGTTGCCCCATTTTACACACGGGAAATCTAAGGCTCAGAGAAGCTGTGCCTGGGTGCCCGTGACACCCAGCTAGGAGGGGCAGCTTAGGAGTCAAGCGCAGGTCCGAAGGCCTCCAGAGCCAGCTCTGGCCCCGACACCCCCAGCCTGGCCTCAGGCATCCAGTGAGCTTCTCGAGGGCAGGGCCTCCCTCTAAAAACCATCCCAAACCCCCTCACTGGCATCACTTATGGGGAAGCCCAGTGCAAGAGCTCAGATGGAAAGGGATGGGCCCCGAGCTCCCCCACCCCAGCTAACACACTCATGGGTGCAGCAGGAGGCCTTTCCTGCCCAGCGGGGTCCCCGCCAGCTGCCCCATCTCCTGAGTCACCCCAGACCTGTGCTAGGTGGTCTCTGGTCCACCTGTGCCTTGTGCCTCTGCTTCCAGGCACCTCAGCAGAAGGCTGCAGCCTCTACACCGACATACACACACACACATCAGGGAGGTGTACACACGTGGGCACACACGTAAGAAGGTCAACGGGAAATCAGGAAGCAGCTCCCTGGCCCCAGGAGACAGGATCACTCCCTGGCTTGGTCATATCTGCCTGGGCCTCTGGGGGGTCGTGTCCTTTAGGTGTCTGCCTGTGGCCACCCCTCAGTGAAGACCCCCAGAACAAAGGGGCTGGGTGTGGGGATCACGTTTGCAAAGATGCCCGAAGGTGAGATTTCGCCAGCCTGCCGTGACCTTCTGTCTTGTCTGCCTGCTGCCCAGCTGAGCCTCAGCTGCCTCACTTACTGTTGCTTAGCATTCTTGGGGTCTTAGGGTGTCCGGAAGCCTCCAGCAGGCAGACCCCAGGGCTGGCGGAAGATGGCCCCTCCTCTCCCCAGCGATGTCCTCCAGCTCACCGAGTGGTCAGAGCTGTCCCTCTGCCCAAATTCAGAACGGCCTTGCTCCTGGTCCTTCCAGGTGGTCACAGCCTTCCAGGACCCAGGGCCTACCTAATTCCAACATGTCACTCCTCACTTAATTCGACAGGACCCAGAAGCTGGGAGGTCCAGGGCCCTGCCCCTCTGGGGTAGCTAGGGAGTGAGTGTCATCACTGTGGCAGAGTGGGCGCCCTACCAAGGGAGAGGGGGCCTCCCTCGGCAGCAGCCACAGGCCTGCAATCAGCTAGGTGCCACCACCCGAAAGGCAGGTCTTCACTTGGGACACACTCGCTCTTTTGATGCCCGTGCCAGTTTGCTCCCGGCCCCGGAAGCTGCTGGGCACCCTGCAGTGTTAGAGCCAAGGGAAGTGGGTGTGGGAAAGAAGAACCCACCACCACCCCTACAGTCTCCGCGCCCCCCATGGCAGGAGACGCCTCAGGCAGCAGGCACAGGAAAATGCCTCAGGACCCACTTGGGCCATTCTCCTGCCTCCAGCCAGGCCTGCAGCTCACCCAGGAGGGTGTGTGAGGGAGGACAGTGTCAGCAACACAGGCCCCATGTCCACCCCCAGGAGGAGGACATCCTCCCAGAAGAGCCCCAGCACTGGCTGAGCTTGTGTTCCCTCCCCGGGGGGCTTTCATGGCTAGTGCAGGTCTTCAAGGTCGGAGGCAGCAGCCAGACTTCACTGCAAGCTTCTTCCCCAAACTCCGTCCTTCCTTTCCCATCCCCCTCCCCCGGTAGAATCTCCTGACACACCCCTGCCAGTACCAGCTGGCAAGGAGCAGCGTGCCTGGAATTCCGGCCCCCCCCCCCCCCGTATGCTGTTTGGACTCTCCTGGGGGTCACTGCCAGCCCAGCCAGACACCAAGGAGCCCAGGTCCGGCCCAGGTGTTAAGGTCAATATCAGATGCACAGGATGAAGGAGCTAAGAGCAAGGTGACCGTCTCTTACGGACAAGTACACTGAGTCAGCAGCAGAGTCCAGGAAGCTTTCCTCTTACTACCAAGTCCTTGGGTGGCAGGGCTCTTAGCTTCCTTACGCAGAGAGGAAAACACCCAGTCCCACAGGCACACGGCAGTGAGCCGGACTGGGGCCCATCCTTCCAGCTCCTGCACGCTCCCTCTTTCTGGCCCCCTACTCTGATAGACTATTCAAGGCCACTCTAGAATTTCTGGAGTAAGGATGCTCCCTTCTTGATACCAAGGAAATCCTGCCTGCCTCTCTTTGCTTTCTCTGGCCAGTGGTGATGGGGGAGGAGAACCTGAGCTAAGTCTCCATTCCTTGGACTGAGAGAGCGGCAGCAGAAGAGCCGGGGGCAAGGCCATTACCAGCACAGGAACAGGATGTCTTGACAAACCTGCCTCAGGTCAGGCCTCCCCCCTCGGGCTCCCACAGAGGGTTAGAGGCGGCCTCGGTGATGCTGATCTCCAAGACTGAGCAGCTGTAGGAGGCAAGTGGGGCCCAAACCTCCCTCCTGGTGGCTGGTTCAGGAGGGCAAGGGGAGGCCAAGTCCATGGGAACCCACCTTCAGGGGCCGCTGGGGGAAGACACGCTCTCCCACCCATGTTAGGACTTGGGGGTGGGGGGAGGACTCTCAAGGGCCACTGGGGCACAACCTGTGGTGGGAAGGGTGGTCCCACGATAAGAGCTTCGTCCCAGGATGGAGGGAAGGAGGGGGAGATGAGGCGGCCCTGGGTGGGGCTCCTGTGGGCAGTTGAGCCCAAGGGCCCTCGGTGCTGTCCAGGCCTGAACACAGACCAGGCTTGTGAGCTGGAAGATGCTGCAAGAATGAGCTGGCCAGCAGCAGAGCCGCCCGAGGTAGGCGCTCAGGAAGCAGAACAGGGCGGTGAAGGGCCACAGTGAGCCAAGAGCACGAGAAAGCAGAGCCAGGAGGGGGAGGCGAGACCCACCAAGCCGAAGGCAGAGGAGACCTGAGTGACGGAAGCGTGGCTGAGTCCTGTGTCCAGTGGCGTGGCGGCCCACTGTGGCCCCCTGGGAGACACAGGCCCACCCCCACTCTGCTTGCTCTCCCGAGGGTGCCCAGGTGCGCGGCTCCTCGTATACAACCCCCATCTCAAGAGTCTCGGCTCCTTTCGACGGAAAGGCTTAACAAATCCAGACCCCTCTCAGCATGTCTGGGACCGTGAGCCTGTTTAGTGTCCCCGTGAAGAAGCAAACACCTGGTCTGAGGCGTGCTGGCTCTATTTCCACCCGCGGCCACAGGGGCTGCCCACGGTCAGCCAGGAGGGGGCAAGGTCCAAACCCTAGAGATGCAGAAGGGGCAGAGACCGGAGTTAGGCGGAACTAGGGGCCAATCTGGACTCAGACACTGAGTTACCTTGAGACCTTGGACCAGCCACTGAAGCTCTTCCCACCCAGGAATAACATCACCTTCCCCAAGGGCTGTGTCAAGGCCAATGCCCTGCACACACAGCCACCAGAAGGGCAGGCCCTCTTTAGCCACTAGGGGGCAAAACACTGCTCCCGTCTCGGGATTTGTCAGCCCCCAGAGAAGCTAAGGTCCGTGGCCAATGGGACCAGAGACCAGTCATCGCTCACAAGCCTGGGGCCTGTTTGTGGTCTCCTTCCCCAGCCCGCTGGGACATGGGGGTGAGACAAAGACAAGCTGCCCCAAGGTGCCCAAAGTCATGCTCAGCCCAAAACTTTGGGGGCTACTTACCAGCTCTCGTGGGCTCCAATCTGCACCCAGACCCCAGCCCAGAGCTCAGACCAATGTCCCAAAAGCACCCAACCCGAACAAACTGCACAGGACCGTTGGATTTGGAAAGTTTTTGTTTTCTTTTCCCACACATTTCCGGGGTTGGGGTGTTATCCAAGACTCAGACACATTCGTTAACAAAGAGAGAAAAAAAAAAAACCTGGGGAGCAGGGAGCCTGTGGGCAGATAAGTGACCCCAGCAGTATGCGGGTAATGCCTGGCTCCCTCTCTTCCCTGTTGCCCGCGCCCAATGGGTGCCACAGGCTGCTGCTCGCGATATCTAGATTAATTGTCTTCAATATATATCTGCATTTGCCTTTCCCCTCCCACCCGCCCCCCACCCTGCTCCTCCAGCAGCTTCCCCATCAATGCACGTCGCCCGGCGGCACACAACAGAACAGGTCTTCCCAGGCCCGAGCCCCTTCCCTGGGCGGAACCAGGCAGGCGCCTCCTCCTGGTGGGCGGAGCCATGGCTCTCGGGGCCATCCCGGCCCCGCCCCCCGCTGGGACGCTCCGCCCACCCTCCCGCCCTTCTCCCACCGACTCTGGAAACCCAAAGGGAGGAAAGGAAGGGGGAAACCAGACACACACAAAAAGAACTGGGGAAGGAGGGTGGGGACAGAGAGACATAGCAAGCCTGGGGTGGGGACTGGAGGGCTTGGGAAGAGAAGGAAGGCTGGGGGAACAGAGGGAGGAGGAAGAAAAATGGAGGAAAATGAACAGGACGAGTAGTTGACACTGTACAAAACCCCCAGTCTTCCTTCCCTCCCAACCCCACCAAAATAAAACTACCCCCCTTAAAAAAATAAATCAACCCAGGGCTGTGAGCACGTGCCCTGCCCGATGGGCGCAGAGCTGAGAGGGACAGACAGCCCCAGGACGCACGATGACTCCGCGCCGACGGACGGCAGGAGGAAGGGGACGAGCACGGGGTTTTCCTTTTTTTTTTTTTTCTTTCATTTTTTTGCGTTTCCTCTTCGTGAGAGAAGTCTGAGGCAGCCAGGGAGTGGGTCCCCAGGGCCCCGGCAGGGAGAGGGCCGCACCCTCCTCTCGGGCCCTCCCAGGAGGGGCAGCTGGCAGTGGGGCGCGGTGCCGGGGGCTCAGACGTAATACTCCTTGTCTTTGTTCTTCTTGGCCTTGCTGGGCGTCTTGGGGGCAGCCGGGGCCTTCTCTTTCACCACCGCCCCGTTGCTCTGGGCCGAGTTACTGATGTAGTTCCGGCTCTGGTCCACCTGGTAGGAGCCCTCGTCGCGGTTGCGGTACTTGTACATGGCATAGAGGAGGATGAGGATGCAGAGCGCCGCGGCCGCCACGATGCCCACCACCATGCCTGTGGTGCTGCTGGACTCCCGGATCACCTCCACTGCGCCCGGCGGGCCCCGCTCCCCAGGCCCCGTGGGGTTGGCTGTGGGCAGATGGGGGAAGCCGGGGGCGGAGGTCACGCCGGGGCGCAGGGGAGGGGGCCTCCGCGGCTCGAAGGACGTGGG